AAAGCAATCAAACAAAATTTTGCCTAACGCGCTTCCACACACGCCACTCCACACAAACACATATGCCTGCATACATTTTTATATCTTTATATATTAATTCTTATCTTCTTATTTTTTTTTTTTTTGTGGTTTATTTACTTGCAGGAAAAAGACCAATATGGCAATGAAGTTCAACGTTTGGCGCGTCCTTTGCCAGTCGAATATTTGCTAGTGGATGTACCCGCCTCAACACCACTTCAGCCGCAATTCACATTCACTCAATACAAGAAACGTGGTGAACCATTCCCCGTGGAGAATCGTTACCTGGATGGACATTTGCAAGATTTTAGTGCGCTAAGCACGTATCTATCCCACTGGACGGATGAGGAGTTTCTCGAGGCAATTTCAGATTTTCATTTGTTGCTGTTTTTGTATAGAATGGACACGGTGCCATTGCGTACACACATGGGCCCACTGTTGGAGGCCGTACGCACCAAAAATACAGATTTGGCATACAGCTTTAAGGCTAGCGAACCATGGAAGCTGCTGGAGTCGCTAATACAAGCGAGCACTGGCGGTGTTAGCAGGTGAGTAGTTCGGAGAGAGAAAGAGAGAGAGCGAGAAACAGAGACACTTGAGTTTAAGCCGCACAGCACGTCGCATGTATCTGTCGTGGGCTTTGATCTAAGCATGTTTCACTTAACTCATTTTATCGCTTTTTTTTCGTTGTTGTTGTGCCATTAATTTCTTATTCCTACTTTTTTCTTTTCAGTGGTCCCTCTGCTAGCAACACAGCTGTTGCGTCTAACGCCAGCTCTGCCGCGGCTGCTGCCGGTGCGAACAATCAATGGCAATGTAATCATTGCACCTTCATCAATCCTGGCGAATTGAGCTCGTGCGAGATGTGTTCGCTGCCCAGATAAGCGCACATTGCTCTGCGCCTGTTTACGCCGTCATTTGCCTCCTTGCTGCCTGCGCGGTGGTTGTCCTCGTGGGCAAAATCTGCTGACTGGCTGGTGTTACATTCAGCTAAAGGCACATGGGTGTAGCAGAATTGTTGATTGGCATGATTTCATTACTTCATTTAAATTATAAACACAAAAAAGAAAAAAATAATAATAAAAAATAAAAAATTAAAATTTACAGCAAATAAGCATATGAAGAGCATAATACTATGTACTGTAAACTTTTCGTAATATTCTCAGATTATTTCTATGTAATTTATTTAAAAAATAAATTTTAAATGTTGCGTAGTANGGCGAATGCTGAGAATACATATTTAAAGTACTTTTTCCTTCATTTACTCATACATGCAGACGTTTTTGTAAAAACGTTGGAGATTACCACAGCAGAAAACAACAGAAATAGACATACAATTGGATGTAATATCATTGCCGTCGTTTTGTGTAATTACACTG